TGCATGGTAAGAGATACTGGAAAAAACCAAGGGTGGATGGATCAGAGAGAGGGGGGAGAGAGAGAGAGAGAGAGAGGGAGGGAGGGAGGGAGGGAGGGAGGGAGGGTAGGTAGTGTTGTCTATCCAGATCTTACGACTTTACTCTAAAGGACTAGTTAGAGGAAGCTCAGAAAGGATTTAAAAAAAAATGCTTTGATCAAAGTATAATTTAAATTCCACAAAATTTATCCATCTGATGTATTGTCTTTGATAAGCTTCCTCCCCACCCCCCTTCCCAGTACTGGGTCATGAATTCAAGGCCTCGAACTCTCGATTGGCTTTTTTCATTCAAGGCTGGCACTCTACTACTTGAGCCTTCTGACTTTTTGCTGGTTAACTGGAGATCAAAGTCTCATGGACTTTTCTGCCTGGGCTAGTTTCGAACTGTGATCCTCAGATCTCAGCCTCTTGAAGAGCTAGAATTATACATGTGTGAGCCACCAACGGCTGGCTTTAATACATTTTAATTTATACAGATGTGTAACCATCTCTCTGATCTACTTCCAACATTTCCATCACTCTGACTCTCTCTTGCAAATTCTTCTGTGTCCACTTGCAGTCAGACACCCCCCCCCCCCACCCTTTTGCCTCCAGGAAGCCCCCGACTGCTTTCTGCCTGTTTTTTTTTTTCCTAGAAATTTTGTATAAATGGAATCACAGCCTATGTCATCGTCTGTGTTAATGTCTTCTGCCTTAAAGCATGTTTTTGAGCCTCACAGTTATTACTACTGATATCCTTAGTTCTTTTGAAGTTACTGAACACTATTTGCTATTATCTGGACCCCAAATATCCCTGAAAGGGCCATGTGTTGAAGGCAGTCTCCAGCATGTGGCACTATCAGGAAGTAGTGGAATCTTTGGAGGGTAGGGCTAAGCAGAAGGAAGTTAGGTCACTAGAAACATGCCCTAGATGCATTGGGATACTGAGCCCATTTCTCCTTCTTCTTCTTTCTTGGCTTCTGAGCCACCATGAGGTGAGCAGATTCCTCTGCCACAGTTCCCCTCCAGGTGTAAGTCTTTGTCACAGGCCCAAAAGCAATAGGGTCAAGTGACCAGGAAGTGAAATCTCTGAGACAATAAGCCAAAACAAACCCTTTCTCTTTATAAGCTATTCACTATAGTAACGGACTCAGCTATTCACTATAGTAACACACACACAGTAATCTACTCGTGGGAAGTCTGTGTTTGATAATTTGGAAATGTTGAGACCAGAGGATCTTTAGGGCCCCTTCTAGTTCTCACAGTTGGCACCACCATAAACTAACTCTTTTATAAAAATGTTCTCTACTGGCATTTGGACATGTCTGTACACTGTATAACAATGTACCTTGATCAGACTCAACCCTCTCCATCTCAACCAATCTCAACCGGCCTCACTATTCCATTTGCACATGTACATGAAATATTCTGACCATATTCACCTCCCTCACCCTCTCTGTTCACCCTCCCTTTCCCACTAGTACCTACACTCTGATCGGATGTGTTTCACTTTTCTAATATTCTTTTTGTTTTGTTTTGGTCTGTTGTGGGGCTTGAACTCCGGGCCTGGGCATTGTCCCTGGGCCTCTTTATGCTCAAGGCTAGCGCCCTACCACTTGAGCCACAGCACCACCTGTAGTTTTTGAGTGGTTAATTGGAGATAAGAGTCTTACAAGGACTTTGCTTGCCCAGGGTTGGCTTGGAACCATGATCCTTAGATATCAGCTTCCTGAGTAGCTGGGATTACAGGTGTGAGCCAAGGGCACCCAGCTCTAACATTCATTTTTAGTAAAGAGCACGTTAATTGTGTAAAGGAGCTTTCACTGTTATTTCACACATATAGCTGACACACTTTAATCAGATGGGCCTTTCTTCCCCCACCGACTCTTGCATTCCTCAGACCTCTACCCTTATCATTCAACAGCTTCGGGTGAATTTTGTTCTGCTGCCTGAATTCAAATATGCAAAGTATTTCGGTATTGAGGAGCAATCCCTAGTGAAGTTATTTTTTAAAAAACAAAACTAGCATATTCAGAGATATGCACCTAAGTTTATCACTCTAGATTGTTTATTTGTCAAATGTGTGTGTGTTCGTAATACTAGATGGTTGAGCTAAGAAAATAACTTCACAACTAAAATGGAGTGCAGTCTATTCACAGAGCCCTCGGGTGAGAAAAGAAAGGGCAGAGCATTGTCAGCACAGGAAATGTGAGAGCAAGGATAAGGGAATTCATATTCATGTATTAACCCAATTACCAAATGCACCTTGCCAATCCGGAACACTATGGGTTTAAAATGGGATTTCACATCATTTCGTCCCAAGTGACACAGAGTATTATTAATGAAACATTCTTTCCCCAGGCAAGGCTCCGGTGGAGCTCCTCTCAAATGCAATCACAAGAGAGCCTTTATTTAAGGTTGGAAATTCTATTTACCCAAGAGCCCAGATGACTATTCCTCTGCTCTTGCAAAACAAACAAACAACAACACAATAATACCCTGGCAAAGTAGATGCAAAAACTAACTGAAGGGATTGGAAAGAAATGTGAAATCAGGAATGCAGGTCCAGGTGGACCTACTTGCATCAGAAACATAGCCATAACATATTTTTCTCTGCTGCTAAAAAAGAAAAACGGAGGCTACATGTATCAATGAGACAAATGAAACATAGGAATTAAGGTGTGGATGTGGATGTGTACTGGGTTTGAATTCAGGGCCTCTCTCTTGATAAGCTGATGCTCTACCACTTGAGCCATGCCTCCATCCCTGCTTTCTGCTGTTTCTTTAGGAGATCCTTGTAAACTCTCCAGGCTGTCCTCAAACCACAATCCTCCTCCAGATCTCAGCCTCCTGAGTAGCTACCATTATAGGCATGAGCCATTAGCATCCAGCTTGCATGCATACATTTTGAACAGAGTAGGCTTTGTTGTGTGGCTTTACTTTGGGTACAAGAGAACTCCTCAATAAATGTTATTTAAGGAAACGAACCCTGAAGTTCAATAAAAACAAAACTGGTATTAGCACTGAGGATGGATGGATCCTGTGTTTTCACAGGAGAGCTGGGCACTAGTGACTCATGCCCGTAAATCTTAGGTACAGGAGACTAAGATTGGGAGGATCAAGGTTTGAGGCCTGTAGGGGGGGAAAAAACAGTTCAATAGGAAAAGCCGGTGTGATGGTATGTGCCTGTCATCTTAGCTACAGCAGGAAGTACCTGTCCTCCCATTCCCCTCTCCTTCCCCCTGCAGTGCTGGGGTTTGAATTCAGGGCCTTGTACTAGCTAGAGAGGTCCGCTACCACTTCAGCCTTGCTCAACGTCCCTTTCTGCTTTCTTTTTCTGATGAGTCACGTGAGTTGGTTTGTTGGTTGGATGATTTATTTTGTTTTTTTTTCGTCAGGCTTGGATTGTGATCATCCCACTTCTGCCTCCCATGTAGCCGGGATGACATGCACAGCTATTTAGTCTCGCTAACTTTTTGTTCAGGTTGGTCTTGAGCCTTGATCTTTCCATCTCCACTCCTGAGTATGGCTAGGATTACAGGTATGAGACACTGTGCCTGGCTCCTTCCTTTACATTCCCTATTCCACAGTTTGATAATGTTTCACCAGGAATCTGGAAGAAGCTATTCCCTAGGGTGTTGTGTAATTTCTATGTTACACTTGGTTTATTAAAAAATAAACAGAACAGCTGAGCACTGGCAGCTCATGCCTGTAATCCTAGCTACTCAGAAAGCAAAAATCTGAGGATTATAGTTTGAAGCCAGCCTGCACAGGAAAGTCCATGAGACCCTTATCCCCACTTACCAGCAAAAAGCTGTCAGAACTGTGGTTCAGGCGGTAGAGCACCAGCCATGAGCAAAAACAGCTACGGGACATTGATCAGGCCCTAAGTTCAAGCCCCAGTACCAGCATCGCGCGTGAGTACACACACACACACACACACACACACACACACACACACACACAAGCATGCACGTACCTACATGCACATATACACTTGGGATGGGCACTGTTCTAGACCAATGAATCTTATTAAAAAGCTGATTCTGAGTCAGAAATTTTCAGTGGGGCTTGACTTTATTTTAACTAGTCCCCAAGGGGCACAAACACTGCTGGCCTGAGACTACCTGGAGTACTAAATTTCTAGGCACTTGGGATATATAATAGGCAGGCAAAATAAAGATCCTTTGACCTTGGGGAACTTCTCATCTGCCTGGAAGCAAACTGAATTCAAAGAAGGCTGAAGTCAGAGCCCTCAGAGTCTTAGAAAAATCCCAGCTGCAAGAAAGCTTAGGGGGTTAATCTAATCAAAGCCCAATTTAGGGTGTGGAGACACTGCTGGTTACAGTGGGGAAGACAGTTAGTCAAAGTCCCTCTGTTTGCTGTGACAACTTTAGGACAAGGCTATTTGACCCCCATTCCTCTGAGTTACCAGTGTCTTCAGCCACTTCATGGGGAGAGGGGCAGGGCCCCAATCAGGGAAGAAAGTTTGTACAGGAGGGTCCCACTGTCTTGATTTGCTCTGTATCTGTTTAGCGACATACGAGTAAATATGGAATTAGATCCACCCCACCTACCTTTGTTTTTCTGCACTACTAACTGTGAAGCAAGGATGAGCCAGAGTAGAACTACTCAGGAGCAAATTCAGAGGGCTGGCATTCCATCACAACACCACACCAAGTGAAGAGTTACCACCCATTAAATTAGATCAATTGGAGCCTGTTCCTAGTTTGGGAGTGGGATAACAACTCCTGACAGCATCTGAGGGGGCTCCTGGGCTTTGGCTTAGAAAACCATTATGCATGACACACCAAAAAGCAATCCCTTCCTCTACTCACTTCCAGGATCTGGGACACAAACTTTTCCATTCATGCCAGTTGTATTAGAGCAGGAGCAAATTTCCCTGAGGAACTAGAAATGCAAACAGTGGGGGGTACACCAAACATTAATAATGTAACAAAGGCAGGACAGAGAAACTTTAGTACTTTTTGATGTCACTTTATTATTTATCCCTTTACCAATATTCAAACAGGCAGGCAGGCAGCAATAAACCATTGAGAAAGAGAAAGAGAGGAGGGGTTGCAGGGAAGAGTGTACAACAGATATCTGACATCTGGTTTACCTCAGTTCCTTCTGGGAAATCTGGAAGTCAGATGCCCTGGCATTTATAGAGTATAACAATGTTAAAAATGACTTGTATCCAAAGTATTGCTTGATGGTCTGACTTAGAAAGAGGTCTGTTCAAGTTTTATGGAAGGCTAGTATGCAGGCAGACAATGTTTTGATAAGACAGGGTGCAATGAAAGTTTTAAAAAAAAAAAAAGGCTGTCTCCAATTTCTTTACTTTTTCTTTCTTTGTATGCTGGTACTGAAGCTTGAACTTGGGGCCTCACATGGACTTGCTTAGCCTTTTCTGCACAAGGCTGGTGGTTCTACCACTTAAGCTGCACTTTCACTTGTTTTTTTTGGTTTGTTTGTTTGTTTGCTGGTGAATCAGAGATAACTGTCCCTTGGATTCATCTGCCTGGGCTGGCTTCAAACTGGGATCCTCAGATTTCAGCCTCTGGAGTAGGTGTGATTACAGGTGTGAGCTGCTGGTGGTGCCTGACTGGTTGCAAATTTTTGACCCCTCATTTAGGATGATTCCATTTGAAACAAGGATGTTAGCAAGGGTCAGTAGTTAGCATCCTGTCACATCCTGCCAATCTAGACCAGCAGGCTGTACTTGGTCCTTTAAAAAACGTCCTCCAGCAATTCTGACCTGACCCTCAGGGGTCCAGCATTAGAACGATATTCAGCGTGCATCCCATAATTTCCATTTACACAAAATAAGAGGGTCTCCTCTTCCAGTGGCCTAATCCTAAAGACCTGCTAGCTACACGGAGACGGAATTTTATGATGGCAGAAATGTAAAAGCCAAACATCCAAGCAAAACCAAATCCTGAATGGCAGGGTTGTGGGGAAGGGGGTGTGGAGACGTGGCTCAGAGAGGGGTGTGTGTGTATGTGTGTGTGTGTGTCCTAGCTTGTGTTTCCTTTGCTCCGCTGGCTGCTTCTGTCTTTCCAGGAACTGTCCGTGGTGTACAGGCGGTGGTGCTTAATGTAGGCAATGACGGCGTCAGGCAGCAGGTACTTCACACTCTGCCCTTGACTCAGCGCTCGCCGGATGTATGTGGCACTGATCTCATTCTGCACGGGCTCCTGGGCCAGGTAAATATTGTGCTGGTACTGCTGGAGGATGGGCAAGTCTAAGATGTACTCTTTGGGGTCGTGACCCGCCCGGCTCACACACACTAGGCCAAACTTCTCCACAATTTCCCGGATGTGTGCATCCTTCCAGAGGTTGGGGGTATGGAAGGTCTTTAAGATGTCTGCCCCACAGAGGAGTTTCAGTTCAGGCACAGCTGCAAAAACAAGGGTGGATCCCAGCAAAGTTACCAGAGGAGAAGGTGGGGGTGAGGGCGAGGGGTGGAGAATATATCACTGCCAGGAAAGATCATGTGACATTCTGCTGGGAAATCTCACCAATGATTTTCTTGGAATGGGTGTTTGTAACTTAAAATGGGTGTACAGGAATCTGAAGTGATTTCAGGGTGTACAGTTGTAACTAATGATTGAACCAACACAGCTTTTGTTTAGTATCGGTCAAAGTGGCCAAGTATTACAAAAAGAATTTTTTTTCCTCGGTGAAACAGCAGGCATCTGTTTCTGTGGCGTGTGTGTGTGTGTGTGTGTATGTTTGCGCGTGTGTGTATGTGTGTGTGTACTAAGGCAGAGAACTCCAGAGGTGAACACGCTGTCTCCTAAAGTCTACTTCCCGATGGAAGGAAAGGTCTTTAAAGCCCTACAACCAAGTTGTGACCCCTGAACCGTTTACTGCCCTCTGTTGTCCATTTCAGTCTCAGCCCCATTGTTATCAGATAGCAGGTCCTGGCACTTTTATATAAAATCTCCTCGTAAGGACTAATTATAAAAGCTGTATAGATAAACAAGATTTCTAAGACCCCTCCCACCCTGGCCTAACACATTTGTTTCCAATAGAGAAAGCAAAGCTGGAGAACAACTTATCAATGTGGGGATAATTCTTTGTTATTTATTCCAACACAATGCTGATTGCTGATGATAAAAACGTTTGTGTTTATGAGTTGCTTAGCATAACACTATTACTAAGTGCTTTATGTGCAGAATGCCACATGACCCTCAAAATGAGTATATGAAGAAATCACAGTTGTGACACTTTGCACAGAAGGAAACTGAAGCAGAGAGGGAACTGAGGTCTTTAGCTCCTTAGGGAAGACTCCAGGCTTGGGGGGATTGGGAGGTACCAGCAACTGCTAGGGTCTGCCGCCCCCTGCTGGTAGGAATCTGTATGTGCACCATAAATGGAAGCCCTGGCCCAGTGCATACCCTTCTTGGGTGGCCTCACCTGAAGAGCAAAACCAGAAGCATGCTGTCGGACTTCCGCTCTTTCTGGAAGCAGAGCCCAGCTTCAATATATGAAGGCTAGGGCTCCTTGAAGGTTGGTTTCTTTGTTACCACCAAGCCTAGGTAAGGAGAGGGATTCAGAGCTACCATACCTTGGGGAAGAGCTTGGTGTGAACATCAGGGTTCCTCTGTGGTGAACCAGAGGATTATTCAAGATGTGGGAGGAGATAGATTTTGCTGGCTGCAAAATGGACAGTGAGAGGCTGGCAAAGTCATGGGTAGTGGGTCTGAGGTCTGCCTGAGGGTACCTATTGTGTGGGGCTGGAACCACGACTTCTCTGGGCCTCAATTTCGCCCATTCAAAATATAATAGGCACTAGACTCATTCAAATCAACAGATGTGATTACAGGAACACACCTTCCAAGTAACTCTAGCAGCATGAAACCAGTTGAAGAAAGGAACATTCCTTCCTTCCTGCATGCCTGGATTCTTAAATGTTAACAAACTAACTTTAGAGAGTCAGACTTGTTAGAGTCAGGTTCTGCTTCTGCTATTTAGTTAACTCATGTGACCTCAACCTTAAAATGAGGAGGCCAATGATACTGACCTTATAAGGTTATTCTAAAATTGTATTAGAACAGTATTTGGCACATAGAAAGGGCTATATATTTCAACTGCTTTTTATTCACCTATTAATTTGTTTATCTAGCAACCCACTTATCAAATAACCATTCAACATTTATGAATTATCTCTTAAACATATGGACTTTTAAAAGAATTGTATGCACAAAATATTTGATCACTCGCAGTTTTTACTAACTTGGGCTGGTCTCATTATGCAGCATGTACATGTTGATGAATACTGGATTACAGACAGCTCTGAGGTTTTACTCTAATTTCTTTTTTTCCTTACTTTTTATTGTTATTATAAAGGTGATGTATAGAGGGGTTACAAGTACATAAGTCAGGATATGAGTTCATTTCTTTTTGGACAATATCACCATTTCCCATACTCTCTCCTAGTTTTTCCCACCTGTCCCTACCCACAAGTTGCATAGGTCATTTTCAACACAGTGACTAGTGAAAAACACTGCTGCATTCCTCTCTGTGTCCCCCCTTACCCTTCCAAAAGGCAGATACATGAACAAGCAAGACAAAAAGAAAAAATTAACAAAAAATACTGGAGTTCATTTTGGTAAGTATTATTTTTATATAATCAGAGGCACATAGGCATTGTGCCTTTATGTTCCTCTCCTAAGAATATTTTCCTTTGGTCTCACTGTGTGTGAATGACTACAGTCCTGTATAATTTATCATGTCCCAATGTATTTTAGATTTAGCTTCCACATATGAGAGAAAACATGCACCATTTGTCTCTCTGAGCTTGACTTACCTCACTTAACATGATTTGTTCTAGGTCTATCCATTTCCCTGCAAATGGTGTAACAGTATTCTTTCTAATGGCTGTGTAAAATTCCACTGTGTATAGATATCACATTTGTTTTTTTGGATCTGCTCATCTATTGTAGGGCATTTGAGCTATTTTTACAACCTGGTTATTGTGAATAGTACAGCAATGGACTTGGATATGCAAGTGTCTTTATGGTATCCTGGCTGGTAATGTTCTGGGTTGTATGGCTGGATAATAGGGAAGATCCATGTTGAGGTTTTTTTGTTTTGTTTTGTTTTGGTCTGGTCATGGGGCCTGAACTCTGGGCCTGGGCACTGTCCCTCAGCTCTTCAGCTCAAGGGGAGTGCTCTACCACTTGAGCCACAGTACCACTTCTCGCTTTTTTCTTTTTGCTTATGTGGAATCGAACCCAGGGCCTCATGCAGGCAAGGCAAGCGCTCTACCACTGAGCCACCTTCCCAACCCTATGTTGAGTTTTTTGAGGAACCTCCAGACTGCTGTCCAGGATGATTATATCAGTTTACATTCCCACCAACAGTGCAAGAAGGGGTTCCTTTCTCCCCACGTCCCTGCCAACATTTGTTGTTATTCGAATTCATGATATTGGCCAATTTAACTGGAGTGAGATGAAATTTCAGAGTTGTCTTAATTTTCATTTCTTTTATGGCCAGGGATGTTACTCTAATTTCTTATTTACCCAACCTCTGTAGTACAGCAGGAGACTAGGGTCTGATCTGTCGAACAATTAGGTCTTCACACGGCTGGGGGGGGGGGGGGATAGTTAGGTGATAGACATTTAATTCCAGGTCTCCTAGGAGCCCAGAATACACCCCTGCTATTCCCCTAGGTCAGAGAATAGAGAAGACACCCCTGTTTTTTCCCAGTGGGTTTTGTGAAGACAGTTCCAAAGATCAGCTTCAATGTTAGGTGCTATTTGATTCACTAACAATGGCACAAAGGAATACCCGTTCACTCTGGGATTCTCCTGGAGAAGACAAGAGCCTGGATGTCCTCTGTTCCCCAACTCTAACACATCTGCCAGGCAGGTGGTGCCTGCCACTCCACAGAGCAAATCTATGTAGGTCTCACGCCCACCTCGTCCAAGACCCTAGCTCTGAGCCATCCCATCTTCAAGCCTCACAAAGGCAATTGCAAAGCTCTTCACAGGGTCACTGTCAAGTTCTCAGATGGGTCACTCTGTTCGAGTCTAGAACATGTAACGCCAAACAGGGAGGCAACATGACAGGTGCTAACGATGACACAGTGACAGAAACAGGATGCTTGTGGCAGCTGGGCCAGTGTGGCCTTTGAGTTGCTCTGGCTTTGGAACTGGAAATTTCCACAGAGTACGAGGAAAGTACTATGAGGCACTGTCATCTCTGGATGTTTGTCTGTGTCCTCAGTGAATGATGCTGAAGAGCCCTGGATATGGATTTTTTTTTTTTAGATCTGCAGGTACCCTGAAAGCCCCCTAGAGGGCTATGGGCCTGTTTCTTCCAACTGTAAGTGGAGACAGTAAAGTCTATGGTACTGTGGGGATTGTACTGTGTACTGTCTGCCTGGAACCACGTTTGAACACAGCTACTAATGGGGGTGCTGCCCACAGCCTTTATCCACTGCACACACACTCAGAAGCTGGGGAACATCTAGGTCTATACAGGATACCAGAAATGAGGGTGGGAATAGGCATCAGATAGGCAGCACCTAAACTAACCGTTCAGAGTTACATGGACAGAGATCAAGCATCTGCTTTTTTTTTTTTTTTAAATGAAAATGGGATTCTTGAGCAGGAGTTGTACTCAGCCCTGAAGGTCAAGGGCAGGCAAGGCCATCTCACACAGTCACACCCAAGCAGCCCCAGAACACAGTAAGCCCCGTGGCTCTGAGTTAGACCACACAAGGCTGTGAATATCAGAAGCCTCAGGTAAGGCCAACTGCTGGTGGCAAGGAGTGTTGAGACTAGTGTGTAATTTGCAACAACACACAGCACTGGACAATGCAGCAAGGCTAAGACTTTAACACTACCACCACCAAAGACCTTAACACCACTTACCAGCTTATCCTTAAATGACCCTGCTGATAATCCATAGTAATCCGTGTCACAAGCACATGTCACACGGGGTAGGCAAACCCCTCTGGGCAGCAAATCCCAAATGGGCACAGCAGTGGTATGGTGGGTGGCTCTAAGCTGAACTTTGAACCTTGGGAGGGTCACCTCAACCAGATGGGCCTCAGAGTCCTTGTGTATCCTGAGGCTGGGCCCCAGCCATCAGCAGCCATGACTGCATTAGTTCTCACAGGATCCAACACCACCCCTCTGTAGACAAGGGGGCAGCACCTACCTGCAGGGGCTGTTGGTGTCTTGCCAGCGTTCTGGGCTTCCATCGGGGGTGAAGATCTGAGCAGTTCCTGGTGATGATGCCTGTGGTATAAACACATGGTATTAACACACGGTATAAATACACGGTATAAACACACAACAGATGCTGGAGGGGATGTGGACAGAAGGGAACCTTACTTCATTGTTGGTGGGAATGTAAACTTGTTCAACCACTTTGGAAAGCAGTATGGAGGTTCCTCAAAAGACTTCACATAGAGCTCCCCTATGACCCAGCAATCCCACTTTTGGGCATTTTCCCAAATGTTTACAAACAAGACCACACTAAAGCTACCAGCACAACTATGTTTATTGAAGCATTATTTACCATAGCTAAGATATGGAACCAACCCAGATGCCCCTCAGTAGATGAATGGATCAAGAAAATGTGGTATATATACACAATGGAATTCTATGCCTCCATCAGAAAGAATGACATTGCCCCATTTGTTAGGAAATGGAAAAACTTGGAAAAAATTATATTAAGTGAATTATGCCAGGCCCAAAGAAACATAGGTCCCATGGTTTCCCTTATTTGCAATATCTAGTATATGTTTGAGTCAAGCAGGAAAGGTCAGATAATGTGATGTTAGGAAAATGAACCCTTAGATATGTATTTAAATGTCTTTTTCTTTCATGCATTTGTTTCTAACGCATTTATAAGATTATCTCTTTGTTGCTTTGTATGTCCCTCCCCCACAGTATAACCCCTGCTTTCACTATATTTGATGTCAGTATAACTTGTGGAGGAGATGGGGAAAAACAAGTTGTTTAAGGATACAGGTGGACCTGTTGCAACAATGAGAAGTACAAGTTGTCATGTCAAAAATGAGTTTTACAACGTTGGTGCGGGAGGTGGGGGGGGGCGGGGGGGGCGGGGGGGGGGGAGGCTGGGAAGGGATGTGAAGGGTAAACAAAGGAGGAGGCTGCAATGCTTGATAAGAAATGTATGCATTACCCTGCCCTTGTAATTGTAACCCCTTTGTACAGTATGTTCACACAAAAAAAATTAAATTAAAAAAAAAATAAACACACGGGATTGAGTGTGCTGTGCTCCAGGCCCCAAAGCCACCTACCCCCCTCCTCCTGCCAACAGGCTCTCAGAGCTTAAGCTTCAGCCTACTCCTTCACTCATTCTGCAAATACTCAAGAGCCTCCTGCCTGCCAGGCATCATGCCAGGTACTGGGACAGAAAGTAGATGCCACCTGGGTCCTTACAGAGACCTAGTGAACACTGTTGATTGTTATGTGTGGCTGGTGAAAGCTGCCAAGTTAGCTTCGTTCTATTCTTTCTATAATTTCTCAATGAATCATATGAGTTGTGTTGAGCAGGAGTTAAGGATAGGCTACTACAGACAGACAGACAGACAGACAGACAGACAGACAGACAGACAGACAGACAGACCTAAGTTCAAAGTACACATTTTAATTTAGCTAGCAGGGATGGCCATAGCTTTTGTGAAAGGAACTATATACATTAAGCACTTGTACAGTATAGGCCATACCTAACTCCAAATAAACTAAACTGGATTAAAAATGCAGTGATATGCATGGGCTCATGCCTATAACCCTAGCGACTCAGGAGGCTGAGATCTAAGGCTCGTAGGTTTGAAGCCAGGCTGGGCAAGAAAGGCCATGAGATCCTTATCTCCAATTAACCACCTAAAAATACAGAAGGGAAGCTGTGGCTCAAAGTGTCTAGAATGCTTGCTTTAAGCAAAAAAGTTCAAGGACAAAAGAAAACCTCAGAGGATAGTACCCAGGTGCTGAGTTCAAGCCCCATGACTGACAAAAAAAAATCAATAAAATGGCCAGGCACAGGCAGGTCACTCCTATAATACTGGGGATGTAGAGACTGAAAGGATTGTAGTTCAAGGTCAGCTCAGACAAAAAGTTTATAAGCCAACCCCTCCAATAGCTGTACCAATAGCTGGGTACAGTGACAAATGTCTGTCATCCCAGAGACAGCAGGATGCCTAAATGGCCTAAGTAGAGGATTTTAGTCCAAGCTGGCCAAGGCAAAAGATCAAGACCTGAGAAGAAAGGGCTCAAGTAGTGGAGGAGCCTATTTGAATTCAAACCCCACCAATGCTGGAAAAACAAAACGCAAGAGGATGATGGAAAAGAGCCAGAGCCTGGCTCCCCCAGTGATTGGCTGTGGACCCTGGGCAATGACTTCAGGTGAGTGTGGATGGTTCTGAGACCCTTCCACTCCAGCCTCGGGTAGGAGAGGGAAGGAATTCATTCCCAGCAAGTGCTCAAAGCACTTCCCATATGACTGTCTAATTCTATCACCCATGTGGCACGGGCAGCCTTTTAAGCAATTTATCTTCCTCGAATCATGAGATGCCTGCAGCTCCTTCCCTCATCACACACAGGGGGTCACTGCACAGCCTTTCCTGCTTACCTCAGCACCTTCACCGTCTCCATCCACTGCGCCTGATCACTCTCCCAGGAGTCCACGCGGATCCAGTCGGACGTCTGCAGGGCCAGCCGGGCCATGGCCACTCGGTGATGGGAAGCCACCAGGTCTTTCTTTCTGTAGTGGTCACTGACAGGTGAGATGATGCCCTGGATCACCTGGTATATCCCTAGGCAGAGGAGAGCAGTGATGACAAACACTTGGCACTAAAAATCTCTGATTTGTCTTGGGTGGGGAACAGGCCCTGGCATTGTCTCCCAGGTGGTCCAAAGGCTGGGGAGAAATTGCAACCTCAGTGACTTCATGCTTTACCACAGTCTTCTATAATCCAGAGCAGCCCTTCTGCAGGAAGGAAGGCTGCAGAGCAATGAGGACAGAATATGTTGGAGATAAGTTACAACGTACTGTGTGTGGGGTAAATCATCTATTAAGTCATAGCCCGGAGTCGGTGGCTCACGCCTGTAATCCTAGCTACTCAAAAGGCTGAGGTCTGAGGATCAGATGGGTTCAAAGGCAGCCTGGGCAGATAAGAGCCTCCAGGCAGCCTGGAGACTCTTATCTCCAATTAACCACCAGAAAACTGGAAGTGAAGCTGGGGCTCAAAGTGGCAGAGTGCTAGCTTTGAGTAAAAGAGCTCAAGGATAGCACCCAGGCCCTGAGTTCAAGCCCCATGACCAAAGCCTTGGCTCCAATGGATTCTTTTTGAACCCAGATCCTCCTGCATATAATGTAAGCACCCTACCACTTGAGCCACTCCCACCCCCAGCCCTTTTGCTTGTTTCTTTTGCTTTTGAGACAATACCTTACTACACTTGCCAGAGCTAGTCTATAACTTGTGCTATTTCCTGCCTCTATCTTCCCAAGTAGCTGGGATGACAGGTACACACCCCCACAACCAGCTCCAAAGAGGATCTGAAGGCTGAAAGATGAGGGGATGGGAATTAGGAAGAACCAGGCTTGGTGGGTGATGAAATATATGTCCTGGAGGGATGAGCTGTCAATGGAGGGGAAGTGTATTCAAGGAACAGACCCAGGCTGAGCTGGTTTGCAGTGAAATCTTCCCTGCGGACCTTGTGAACCTATGGGGAATTCAGCTGATGAGAGATACACTAAAAATCAGGACACTGTGCAGGGGGACCCCAGATGGTATTAACTATACTACTATAAGAGACGTTTCCTAGCCAGGCGCTGGTGGCTCACGCCTGTAATCCTATCTATTCAGGAGGCTGAGATCTGAGGATCTGAGGTTCAAAGGCAGTCTGGGCAGGAAAGTCCGTGAGACTCTGATCTCCAATGAGCCACCAGAAAACCGGAAGTGGCGTGGTGGCTCAAGTGATAGAGTGCTAATCTTGAGCTGAAGAGCTGAGGGACAATGCCCAGATCCAGTGTTCAAACCCTACAATGGACAAAAAAAGAAAAAATAAATAAAAGAGAGGCGTTTCCTGCTACCTCTAGTTTTAGGGCTTCCTTCACATGTGATTACTGCATTTTATCAAATGCTTTTTTTTTGGGGGGGGAGGTCTATACCTCTTGAAATAATTGTGATTTTTTTTTCCTCTTCTTTGGTCAGTTAATATAGTGGATTGCACTGATTAATTTTCCAATCTTCAACCAACATTGTATTCCTGAGATTAAATCCCACTAGGAAGAGATACCTTATCTTTTTTATGTATGGATGGGTCTACTCTGCTAGTTCTTTATAGGAAGGGAGACAGGTCTATAACTCTCTTTCCTCTTTCCATCCTAATCAGGTTTTGGTATCAAGGTTATACCGGCCTTACGGAGTTTACTGGCCAGGGGAGCTTTCTGAATTCCAAGCCGACAAAACTAAGTTTTTCTTCCATGTTTGGGAGAACTCATCAGTGAGATCTTTGGAGTCTGGAGCATTATTTGTACAAAAAAAAGAGTTTAGACTGCTGGTATAAGATGGCATGGATTTTTAAAAATTTCTTCAGTATACTTTGTGGCAACTTACACCTGTCTAGGTTTTTGTCCAGCACCCAAAAGATTTAAGATTTCCTGACCAATGACTCTTCATGAAGGGCACACTAAGGTATTTTACATCTGAATCATGTGCAGTGAAAGCTGAGTCATTCCTAAAGTTGTGTGTCTCCTTTCTCTTTCTTCTTGCAGTGTTGTTAGGGCATAGCTGTTTTATTAGTCTTTTCAAATAAGTCTTTTATTAGTTTTTTCAAAGAATAAACATATTGACTTTCTCTTTTTTTTTTTTTTTTTTTGGTCGGCCGTGGGGCTTGAACTCTGGGCCTGGGCGCTGTCTTTCAGCTCTTCAGCTCAAGGCCAGCGCTCTACCACTTGAGCTACAGCACCACTTCCCATATTGACTTTCTCTAGTGTATGCTTGTTTTCTGTTTTACCAAGTTTTAAAAATCTTTTTAAAACTTGGTATTCTTTTCCTGTCTTTTTTCCCCCTACCTTCTTGTGACATCTGCTCAGCTAATGAATGAATGTGCTATCTGTGATTAGCCTTATTTACTAACTGGAAGATAGAAGATCTTCGACATATTTTCTATCCTTGTTAATCTGGGTTGTTCTGGGTGTTCTTCCTGGAGACTGCTTCAAGGCATGGTAGACACCAGCTGAGGACTAGAGGTGATGCTCAGCTTCTAACCTGTAGAACCGGGGCTCCTAGAACTCACTTCGGAGGTACCACTTGTAAAGGTGAAAGCTTTCATTTGTATGAGCCAGGATGTGGAAGGGGAAAATGGTTAAGTTCTTTTAAAAATCACAAAGCAAGCTGGACACCAAGAGCTCACACTTATAATCCTAGCTACTGAAGAGGCTGAGATCTGAGGATCATGGTTCAAAGTCAGACTGGGTAGGAAAGTCCATGAGACTCTTCTATCTAATTAACCATGCAAAAAAAAATACAACCAACCAACCAAACAAACAAAAAACCAAGAAGTGCAGCTATGGCTCAAGTGATAGAGCACCAGCCTTGAGAAAGCTAAGGGATAACACTCAGGCACGGAGTTCAAGCCCCAGTACTGGAATCAAATAACAAAAAAGAAAAGAGAAAGAAAAAAGAAAGGAAGGAAGGAAAGAAGAAAGAAAGAAAGGGAGAGATAAAGCAAAGAAGAAGAAAAAAAGCTGAAAGTAAAGCCCAAGAACTCAGAGTACAGAGTTTTACTCAAATACAGAGGCAATCAGAAGAGGAGTTGTAAAGATAGAAATGAAAAGCCATTTGTGGACTGAGGGTAGAGGAGGTATCTTCAGCAGCAGAGGTAGAAAAGAGGCTGGAAGAAAGACGTCTGGTTCAGAAAACTGACACTAGCTAAGGCCTACTCCCCCTGCATTCTGTTACCCTTCATCGGTCGATAAGCCTGGGTGGTGCTGAAGTCAGAAGGCCATAGTTAAGGAGCCCACTCGGCTCCTGTTTTGCCTCCCTCTTGGAATTCTGGGAGGAGAGCATCTCACCTTGCAGCAAACAGTCTCGGGTAGATGAATAAAGAGAGGAAGGGGGCGGGTGGAGAATTGGGTCATAACGTTCAATATGTATCCTGTGAAACTATGAAAACTGAGGGAAGGGGTGGGAAGGGATGGGGAGACTGATGAAAGGGGTGATACTGATCAGGATGCATTGTACTCATAAACTGAGTGCTGAATGATAATCCCTTTATACATATAGTTAAAGATAATAAAAATACAATTTAAAAAACACCCCCTTGCTCAGCTTCTGCAAAGCCTGCATCTGTGAAAACTCCCAAGGCTCCGTGGATGTAGTTTTATGGACAGGGACCCAGTCAGGTTGTTCTGCTGGGCATCTCCGGTCCCCAGGTGTCACTTAGGATGGCTGAGCTCATCCTGACAGCACAGTTTTGCACACTGAGAAATCAATGTTTGTGTGTGTGTGTTAGCATCCAGGGGGAAATCAGTGTGTGTGTGTGTGTGTGTGTGTGTGTGTGTGTGTGTGTGTGTGTGTGTGTGTGTGTGTGTGTGTGTGTGTGTTTAATAGCATCCAGGGGGAAAGAGTCAGTGTGTGTGTGTGTGTGTGTGTGTGTGTGTGTGTGTGTGTGTGTTTAATAGCATCCAGGGGGAAAGAGTCAATAAAAATAACAATTTGAACTAAAACTTCTGCTTGCCCTCTAAATGTCCATGAGTATGAGCCCTTTCCCTTCCTTTCTGCTCTTGGTCGAAATCCCAGTGGTGCCTTTTAGGTGAGCCATCTCTCCCTCCATCCTCCATCACATGTGGACAGTTCTCTTACAACCCTTTGTGGCCAGGCTCAGCACTTGTATGATAATGATCTGCCTGCCCTCATCTTTCCCAAGAGACTCAGAGTTCCTGAAGGGCATGAACTTGAACTTGTCTTTTCTTTCTAGGAAGCGGGCACTGCACACCAGTTAATCCGAAGCGATACCATCTGTACCCTGGGGTTATCAAAACAATACCTGGCTGTGATTTTAACATGACAGCGAGCATTCCTTGTTTATTTCTTCCTTTTCTCTGGAAACTAGCAAGGTAGCATTAAGAAAATAATGATGAAATCACAGCAACAACAGGGGTAGTTTAGCTCTGGGGGCATTCATCTCTTGCTGTTTACTTGCCTTACTATATTTATTACATATATTCCCTATAGTGCATTGTGACTGTTACATAGGAAACCTCATGCTTGGGCTGGTTTATTTTGAAGCTAGGTTACCTTACTGAACTTGTTAGTTCCATATAGTTTTTTGAAGGCTTCTGGGTTTTCTAGGGATACGGTAACTTCACCTGAGAATAATGAAAACTCAGTTTTAATTCCTTGTTTGTAGCAATAAGTGAACTATGATATAACGAGGGACAACTATCTAACCCTGCTATTTCTGAAGTGTGAAGCCATTACCCATCATGCTGGGGAGAGATCCTTATAGTTCGAATTTAGTAAGAGAGTTAGAAAAATTCCTGGGTAGACACTGGATTTTATTGGATGACTTAAGTATGTATTGAGATGATGATTTAGGGTTCATAAAAAATATATGTCATCTTAGTAATATGAGATATTAATAGGTATCTTTATAGTATATTGTCCTTGAATACCTGGGATAAATGCTACTTGGTATTGCTGAATTAGTCTTTTATTAGCAATTTTATAACTGACGACTTTATATGGGTGTTTTGCATACACAATTATACAGTTAAACACTAGCTGTAATACCACAAAAATCCTAT